GATTTACTGACTTATATATCCTGAATCACAGTCCACTGAGGGAAGCCAAGGCAGGAGCTCAAACTGGGCAGGAGCCTAGAAGCAGGAGCTGATGTAGAGGCCCTGGCAGATGCTGCTTACTGGCTTGCTACTCATGTCTTGCTCAGCCTGTTTTTTTTTTTATAGAACACAGGACCACCAGCCCAGGGATGGCACCACCGGCCTTTCCACTTCAAACACAGGTTAAGAAAATGCCCAACGGGTTTGCCTATAGCCTAATTTTAGGGAAGCATTTTCTCAACTGAGTTTCCTTCCTCTCAGATGAATATAGCTTGTGTCAAGTTGACATAAAACTGGCCAGCACAGAGGCCATTATCTTTCTTTGTGAGTGTTTTGGTTTTGAGAGAGGGTCTGGAATGTGTGGTAGTTCTCTTGCCTCGGTATGCAGCTAGTGTGAGAGCAAAGGGCAGACAGCTGCCCACCATCAGCAGGCTCTCCACGGTAGATGTTTCAGGTTCTCCTCCTGTTTCAGGCCATGTGAAAACTTTTGGTGTTTGTTTCTGAGAATTTCCTTGGAGTATGGATGGCCTGTATTGTATGATCCTTCCCGGGGAGACACAAGCAAACATCTGTTCACCTCAGATAGGGCACTGACTACAGACCAAAGGAACAGTTCCTTCCAAGTCAAATTTGGTCATTCAGTGCATTTACTGGGGTTATTTTCACAAGTGTGGGTGCATCATCAAAGAGCCGTCACAGCATGGCTGCCCAACCACTCCTGAAAGCTGCATCCCTGGGGCTCCCTGAGCAGTCTGGAGGCAGTCTCTCTCCAGCAATTGTTTTCCGTTTATACAACACTGGGGAGGGGCTTTCTGAGGCTTTATGGGCCTCCTTCCCGAAGGGACTATTCAACTCAGGACATAGCTACACAACACTGAGTGGGTGAGAAATCAGGGTCTCCTTCCTAAGTGGGTGGGAGCCCCCCAAACCCCTAATGGCATTGCTTCCACAGGACCATCCGCCTGACCCTACCCAAGCTGGAAATCCAAGGATCCTACAACTTGCAGGATCTACTGGCCCAGGCCAAGCTGCCCACCCTTTTGGGTGCTGAGGCAAATCTGGGCAAGATCAGTGACACCAACCCCAGAGTGGGAGAGGTAAGTGCTGCTCCGGCTGTCCTGGGGAGGGAGGGTGGATGCGATGTGGAGGAAGCTGTGGGCAAGACCAGCATGGGAAAGAACAGGGCCTGTGGGCATTGCTCAGCTCTCTTGCCACCTCTAGTTCCAGGTCTATCTCTGTCCCTGCTTAGTCCAGCCTTGCATCCTCCAAGAATCTGTAGATTAGGATGGGAGGAATGACCCCAATGTAGTTCCTTGGAGGAGACAGAGAACTATGTAAACAGAGGATGTGCCTGGATACTGTTGGCATTGTGCTAGCTGCTGGGAAACAAAGAAGGGTTACTGTAGAAGACATGATCCCACTGTGCCATTTGGAGAGCAACATCAAGATGGCAGGTGGAGATATGGACATGGGACATGCTGAGCAGTAGCCTCTATGGGAGCTGGGTGCTGGTGCCCAGGGCCCACTTAGAGGAGTATGTACATAGTTCCTCGTGGCAGGCTGGACAGTGCCCTCCCTCAGGGCAGTTCAGCAGTCTCTGGCCTACGAGCCCCCCTGAAGGAGTTGTCTCTGCTTTGCAGGTTCTCAACAGTGTCCTCTTTGAACTCAAAGCGGGTGAGGAAGAGCAGCCAACCGAGTCTGCCCAGCATTCTGGCTCACCAGAGGCACTGGATGTGACCCTGAGCAGCCCGTTCCTGTTTGCCATCTATGAGCGGTACTCAGGTGCCCTGCACTTTCTGGGCAGAGTGAGTAACCCTCAGAGTGTGCTGTGAGGCCTGGTGCCATAGGGGCCCTTCAAGACCTCATGTACAGCCATGCAAACAAAGCCAGCTTCAGAGATATATCCTGGGCAGAAATCAATGCGGCCACCCCTGGCTTTCCATTACTCCTTCCAGCAAAGCAGAGGCCATCTCCATGGAGACTGTACTGCCTGAGAATAAACAATGAGCATCAGAGGTGGCCTCCTGGGCTGCGGGTTTTGTTTGGAGACTGGGGTGAGAGCCAGGAGCTGGTACTGAGTACAGATCACTGCTCTGCACAAGACTACCGTTCTGGAAAGAATTTGGACCAAACAACTGTTTGTGAAACCAAAAAGCATTCTCTTTTTATTCAAGAAAATTGGGTTTTTAACATTAAAATACGCATTGTCCCCTTGTTTTGGGCTTGTATTTAGCTCAAGGAGTGTGAGACCATGACCTTTGGAATCCCTACATCACCCTAAGTTTTCTTACCCATGGCACCAAGTTTTAAAAAACTGAATTCACACTAGTGTGACATTGTATCACTTTGCTGAGAATTTTGACATGGTTAGTTTAGCTGACAGGCTGAGCAGTGTTCCTAAAGCTCTCGACAGAGACCAACATGTGACAACTAAGTGGCAGAGCAGAGTCCTGTCCCAAAGTGCCACTGAGAGAGGACCTGAGCAGAAGAGCAGAAGGTACTTCCTTTACCCCAAAGACACAGGGTTGCTACTTGCTTCTCTGTGTCTCCTTGAGATTATAGCTACAACCTCCAGGTGTTTGTGTGTGTGTGTGTGTGTGTGTGTGTGTGTGTGTGTGTGTGTGTGTGTGTAGCAGGCTGCCTCCTCCCTGCACAAACAGGGAATCAGGTGAACAATGTAGCATGTTAGCCACAGGAAAAGGCCAGAGAGTACCTAGGGACAGCAATAGAACCTATGATGCAGTGGGTAATCCTGTGTTAGCACATGGAATGGCTTCTCTGGCCTAAGCTGGAGTTTTTGACTTTCCTGAGTTTGGAGTTGAGAGGTGGAATGTGTCCTTGTGGCTGACATCCATCCTGACAGAAGAGCGACAATGTCCCTTGAGTCTCAGCTTTCCTCACCCTACTCCTGAACACTCCTCTCTGGCTTCCAACACCAAGGTGACAGCTTGTCTGTTTTACCTTGAGGGTGTGGCAATCTAACCAGGCCATTCACTGCTTGTGCCAGGGGAGGGATCTATGTACCATGATGTAACTAGAAGCCAGCCAGTTCATCATTCTCTCTGGCCTGTGTTCCAAACAGGAAATGCTAAGGTGAGTAGATTAATCCTAAAAGGCCCTGTTCCTGGAGGGTGGTAAAGTAAATTTTTCTTTGCTGTGACAAAATACTAGATAAAAGCAACTTAAGGGTTTATTTTGGCTCATGTTTGAGTGTTGGGAGTGGTAGGAGCAGCACCAAACAGCTGGTCCTTTCCAGTTACAACACACATGGGACTGGCTCTGGGGTTCGGCTCACTTTCTTAGCCCATGGGATGCTGCTGCCCACTTTTAGGGTGAGTCTTCCCTCACAGGCATGCCCGGAGTCTTGTTTCTTGAATGATTCTAAATTCCATCAGGCTGACAAGATGGAACATCATAGTAGATGGAAGATAGCAGTGGTGAACTGATATCCAGGCTGAGACTGGTCCCTTACCAAGCAAAAATTAAGAGTTCTTCAAGGCCACCCTGCCCTATAGCAGCCCATCTCTTCAAGAGTAGAGCTATTTATCTGTCCCCTACTCCCTGTCATGGGAACCTCTGACTAGGCAATCATGTGGCTGGCATAAGGCTCAGGGGTTCAGGCTGTCCCATATGATTGGGTCCCGACATGCTATCTCCTCCTCCCCTGGTTAGCCCACCACACCAGGACCCTGGGGCTGGCCCAGTAGAAGACACTCCACAGCTATTTAGCAGAGGAGCCTGAGCCTGTGCCATCCTGGTAGCTGACCTGGTGTCAGCACCTGGTGGGACACAGCACAGCTGAGCTCTGCCTTGTGACTGACGGGCTACAAGCTGAGCTGGTAGCCAGCCGAAGTCCTGTAGTTCTCAGCATGAGTGGTTAGCCCCAGCTTTGCTGGCTCAGTCCAGCTCCACCCACAGGGCTCCCTCCATGGGCCCCAGCAGGGTGCGTACAGCATAGGGCCCTCCCAACAGAGAACAGCCTGCCACACGCAGTAGTGAAGGTCTCCAGGCCCTCAGATTAGGGCAGCAACACACTGATTTTTAACATCTGCCTCCAGAACAGAACCTTTCTTTGCATTCAACTATCAAATTTGTGGCCACTGAGGGCAGCCTGAAAAATGAATGCATGCTCTTTGGCTGCACAGAAGGGTGACAGTGGGCTGCAGGTAGGTTCCTGAATGATGGACAGGCAAGCCTCCTCCTTACAGGCCTTTTTTTTTTTTTTTTATATATACCAGAAAGCAATAAACTACATTGGAGATGGATTTTTAGTGTATATGTTGAAGCTGGAAAAAACATAATACTTTAATTTTAAACCTGAATTAAATTGAATCTCAACAGGGAAACTAAGGAAAAATAACAAGGGAGCTGTTTGGGGGGAGTCAGACACAAGTCTTAAACTGTTAGCTTTGGCCTGAATGTCCTGGGGTCAAGTGCAGAAACATTACAGGGAGGCTGGGATGCAATGGTCTGAAGTCAGCCAATAGGGTAAGAGATTAGGCCTCTAGGCCCACTATGGACTGCCGACTCTGTGGGCTGAGGCTGGTGTGTACATGTGGTTACACAGGCTGGCAATTTGAGTTTAGGGCTATTTATTCTACCTTTAAATCCCACCTGTCAGTCATCTGAAGAATGGAAATATCAATACTGGGGCTGGGCTGCAGATGGTGCTCTCTCCTTTCTGGGATCAAGTGATAATCATCAGGGGACAAGGACAGGCAGGGGTCCTTGGTTATGGAAACATGTGAGTTCAAGGTGAAGCTATGACCTCTAGCATAGCTCCTTGGTAGAAACCCATTCCATGCACCTGTAGCAGCCACCAAGCAGACAAGGCTGACTGGCCTCTGTGTGGGACAGAATTCTGTTCTAGGAGATCTACACAGACAGGACTCTTCTATCTGTGCCAAAAGGAATCATGTCGCTGAAGGCATGCACGATGAAGGCCCGTTGGACTGAATTAATAACTTACACGTTTGTAGCAGACACTTGCTTTATTTAGGAAATGAATCTTTGCTGTTGGCTCTGGCTCCTGACAGAAGTGGATGGCAAGATCGGAAGTGCTATTCTTAAGTGCCAACATGGGATGGCCACCCTGCAGCCTCTGAGGAGGCCCAAGGCTGACAGTGTCTCCTGGGATGTGGACAGTTTTTCCACATTGTATTGGTGCCAAGCTGCCCAGTGTTTCATCTGTAGGGCAGCCCACTAGTCACACCTGTGTATTTGCTTTAACCCTATGGTAGAAATTAGCTTGACTACAGTAAGATTTACAATAAAAATAAAGCAATTTGGTCAGTAAACTATAGTAAAAAGCTTCAAATGTCATAAAAACTATCTTCCATACAATGGAAAGGCTTTTGGTTCTTTCTGGGTGAAAGATGGCCCACATACACTGGGCAGGGGCACAGGCTGTTGCTGGGTGACTCAGAGGACAAGGGTCGCTTTCCTCCCCGCTTCAGGTCCTGACAGGATGCCTAGGGCTGTTCTGCAGTCGCCTGGTCCCTGGCAGCAAGGACAAGCTCTGCGAGGGCTGGGAAGCTCTTGATGTCACTGGTCTGCAAGCCCATCTTTTGTATCTGCAAAGGCCATGAGAATGAATTGTCACTGTGATGAGATCTGAGTGGGAAGAGGTCCCCATTCAAACCAGGACAACCAATTCACCCTGTCTCCATTACTGTAGAAAGATTTCCCAAAGGAAAGAGAGATAGGTCTTCTATTAGAGCAAAGCACTGGCTTACTGCAAAACTGTATGCTTTGGGTCTAGCTAAGGAGGTAGAATGTCCAAATCCCTCAGTCCACCACACTAGATTCTGGCCAGGGTCACAGACTCTTTTGTGGGCTTCAGAAAATGATAGGAGAAAAAAAAAAAAAAAAGTCTTGTGCAGAGAATAAAAAAGAAAATTCATTTTTCTTGTTTTTTTTTTTTTTTTTTTTTTTTTTTTTAAAAACAGGGTTTCTCGATGTAGCTCCTGCTATACTGGAACTTGCTCAGTAGACCAGGCTGCCTTGAACATTGAACAGATTCTCCCATCTCTGTCTCCGAGTACTGGGATTAAAGGTGTGAGAATCACCACCCAGAAAGAAAATTACTCTTTAGCTGGAAAGTTTTCCACAAAGCACCAGCTGAGCTCCTTTTTCTCAGCAGCCTTCTCAGAGTGAGTTGGACTGAAGACAAGCAGCCCTTGAACAGCAGCAGAGCCTGCACAGCCTCCCTTCCTTGTGTCCACTCTGCCCATGTCTGTAGCTTGTGAGAAGACTGCAGAACCCTCATGAAATAAACATGGCAGCTGATGTTTGCAGCTGTCTGTCTCTCTCTTTTGAGACAGTGTCTCTCAATCTAACTTATGGCAATTCTCCTGCCTAAGTATCCTGAATGCTGGGACAACAAGCTTTGTGTAAATCCAGACTGTCAAGAAAACAGTTTTCCTATATGTGTAAATTTGGTGGTACTGAGAATATCGCTACAACCCCTCATGGGAGGTCTACATGCTACCATCAGTCATCCACTATGACTTGAAAACCAGTGTTTTATTGGACATACAGCAAGAGGTTGCAGGCCCTGGCTAAGAACTTTGGGTAGCAAGGGCAGGTATGCTGACAGCTTGAGCAAATGCTGAAGCAGCAAGCTTGGCCCTGGCTGCTGGGAGGGGATGCTGTGCACTCTACCGTTTCTTTTGCTTCCTGGCATGCATCCTCCTCAGCAAGTTGGCCTGACTCTTTTCTACCCTGAGCCCTAGGGAGGTGACACCCCAGCTTTGGCCACAGCTAGGCCTTAGAGCCAGGCTCAAGTTGCTGGTACCTGTTCTCCCAGGAACTCCACATCGAGGGCCAGCTGCAGTCGGATCTTGTCATCATCACTCATGCCACTGCTGGAGCTGATAGGGTTGGTGGCTGGGGCTCTTCTGGCTTGTTTGAGGCGCTTCAGGCTTTCCTCCATCTTCTTCACTGAGTTCAGCACATCAGACACAGTCTCAAAGTACCTTGGGCACAAGAGAATAATGAAGGGTCAGTAACTAAACAGATACTGGTGACACCAAGCAGGAATTTGCTTTGTAAGCAAGAGATTCTTAAGATGGCAATCACATGCACAACAGCTCAACTGGGAAATGTGCTGTCATGTTTCCTAAGTCTCCAGCATGATGTTCCCTGAGAGCTTAAGAAATGCATGTTCAGGGGCAGGAGAGATGGCAGACAGGAGAGTAATGGTTTTCTGACCAGCCAGCACAGCTGAATTGGTGAGCTCTAGGCTCAGTGAGACCCCATCTCAACAAAATAGAGAATAATGGAAGACAACATTGGTAGACATTGGCAACTGCCCCCTGGCCTCCCCATGTACATACAAATAAAAACACTAGTCCTAAACACAAGCAACTGAGGGCAGGTCCCATCCAGGTGGAGGCCCCTCTGTAGCATGTCTCAAGACCAGTTAAGCAATCTGTCTCTTAGAGTACAAACATATCTCAGGTCTTTCAACGAAGCTCACTTACCCCCAACTCTCACTATACATTAAAATCAGTCACTTTCTTGCCTGCTTGGCAAGATAGCTGTTTGGGACTGGGACTTTATTTACCTATAAAAACACAGGATTAGGCACTGTTGGCTCTAAACTGACTCACAAGGTGGGGTTTAGGGGCTGAACTTGAAAAAAAAAAAAACTCTACTGCAAAATGGTGATTAATAATGAAATCAATAGTAAAATAAAGCAATATAGTCCCTCCCTCTTTTGTGGTGCTGGGATAGAACTGTAAGAATGCTAAGGCAAACACTAAAGAGTCAAGAAGTGATTCTATTAGCCATGAGTTAGCTAGGAAGAGATCCAATTAACTGTTCCTGTCTGGGGCCTTCTGCTGTGATTACAGTTTACATGATACTTCCTCTTCTCACCAGAAGCCATCCCATCAGCCAGTGGGACCAGCTGGAGTGACAGTTGAGGAGAGGAAGGACGGGCTGGGCTGAGCAGCGGGGGCAATTAAAGGTGCCCTTGGAGTTTGTGTTGGGGACTCACAGACTCCAGGTCAGCCTGACTGTAATGCAGGTGGAGGAGTGGGTGAGGGAGGGACTGGACCAAGGGACTGCTCGCACCTTGCCCACTGACAGTTCTGGGATTTCTTGCTAAGTCTATAAGCAACCCACTGCTCCAGGAAGCCTTGCCATTGCTGTCCCCAGAATGCAGACAGGCAGCTGTCCAGCAGCCAGTAGCTTACTTGTGTGTGCTCTCACAAAGAGCCTCCTGCAGCCAGTGCTGCATCACTGCTGGCTTCACCTTGTCCCCATGTCCATGCTGAAGCTGGAAAAATGGCTTCAGCGCACTGTCCACATAAGAAGAGGCTGTGCTGGGGACTTCCTGGAATGTAATTATCAGCCCGGGTTAAGGACATAAGAAAACAAAAAAAAGAGCCACCACACCATTAGTGTTCAGCAAACAGCTTCATCCCTCCCACATAGTAACCAGAGGGCCACAGAAATCACCTGGAGACGGCAGTGTGCCAAAGTGCACCCCTCCCCACCTGCCCCTCTATTCCAGGTCAGGCTTGATTTTGAAGTATGATGCACAGGACTGAGTTCCTGACTCCTCCCTCTAGGAGATGCCCAGGGCTGGCTCTACATCCTGTGGCACAGGGGACTTGGTTCCTTGCTCTGTAGGTGAAGACTGCCCCCAGTGCTCAGTGGATATGCTGTGCATACTCTCACACACACACCATGATGCCCATAGAACAGAAGGAAATGGAAGTCACCTGGCAATGTGCTCAAGCCTCTCCCATCCAACAACAGTGAACAAGACACTTTTGTTATAAGTGATAGTGTTCTACTGCACAATTAAATCAGCTTTGTTTGATTTTTGACACGGAGCCTGACTTTGCAGCTCAATATAAAAACAAACTTGTAATTCTCCTCTTAGCCTCCCAAGTGCTAGGGTTACAGGTGTAAATTATAATGCTTTGCCAATCCAAATGTTAACGTGAAAAGGGACAACTGGACATGGTGGCTCTCACTTGTAATCCCAGCACTTAGGAGGCTGAGGCACAAGGGCTGCTATGTTTTGAGGGTGACCTCAGCTACATAATGAAGTCCAAGCTAGCCCGGGCTACAGAGTTAATTTTAAACCCTGTTCTTTAAAGATGATATTGGTGATGACAATGACTCTGATAGTAATGACGAGGACAACAGCAATGATAAACAAGACAAAGGAATCCAGTCAGATGAATTTTGGTCAATGTAAGTCCAGCAACAAGGAATAACTTCCTGTACCCAAGAATTATGGCAACAAATGGGAAGAGTAATGCTAACAGGAGATAGACCTCTGCTCACATGAAAGCAAAAGGAAGGTGACAGACCATTTCTATAGTTCTTGAGTTTGGGGTAGTAAATAAACCAAAAGGCAATAAACTAAGTCTAAAACTTAACCATAACTGTGAAAGTTAACCAGAGGGAAAACCAATCATGTGAGAGTAAGAACAGGTGAGAGAATGCATGAAGATGAGAATTTAGCTGCGAAAAAAGATTCTCAGATGACTTTTCTACAACCCAAGTATCTAAAACAGTCTCTGACACCAGGCAGCATGTGCCTTTCTTTGTCTTGTAAGTGCCATTAGCATTTTCTTTTTGGGTGCTGGAGTGAATCCTTGTGCAAGCTAAGTAAATACTATATACCACTTAGCTACATCTAGCTCCTAATATATACTAAAATGTATTTTTTAAATTGAGTTCTTAGTTTATTATGGGTAGTGGTGTTTGTGTCATGGCATGCATGTGGAGGCCAGAGGACAGCTTGTGTGAGTCACTTCTCTCCTTCCAGCAGGTAGGACCTAGGGATCAAATTCAAGATTGTCATCATGGCTACCACAATGAACCATAACATATTCTTATGTTATGGTCATTCTATTGTTTTCAGTGAAAGAACAAGGAAAATCAGGTGTTTCCAATAACCATTTGCAGGAGTAAGATAAATTAAAATTTTTTGTGACTATATGAAGACAAAAATGAATTTTACATAAACAGGACTTAGAAATGTCATTAAATGGTTTCTTGGGGCTGGAAAGAAGAGTCAGCAGTTAGGAATCCTTGTAAATCCTATAGAGGACCCAGGTTTGATTCTCAGCACCCATGTGATGTCTCACAACCTTCTATAACCTCAGTGTCAGGGGATCCAATAGGCAGGCACATAGTGCACATACACACATGCAGGAAAAATGGTCACATACACCAAGGAAAATAAATCTAAAATAAAAATTTTAATTGCCTTCTTTTTTAAAGAAAGTACTTTTCTAGCCAACTGTGGTACTGTATGCCTTTAATGCCAGCACTCCACAGGCAGAGAAAAATGGATCTCTGTGGAGCTAAGGCCACCCTGGTTTATATAGTGAGTTCCAAGCTAGTCAGTACTTACACATATAAGAAAGTACTTTTCCTTAAGATCCAAAGCCCACAGGCCCCAAGTGCACACTATGGGTTGTACTGGCAGCTAGCTCCTGACCCTTCGGAGTCCCTTACCTCAGTCTACCCGTGGACCACATCATCCTGCCCCCTTACACACAGAGCTCTCTCCAGAAGTGACACTGACCTTGTTGGTCCTGCGGTAGAGCCTGGGGACCTCTAGGGCACTCTTCAGATAACTGAAGCAAGACTCACTCAGGTCCTGGACAATCCTGCTGCTGAGAGCTGGCACATGGGCAGACAAGGAACTCCGAGAGTCTTCCAGGGCCGCTGTGGACACAGGGCAGCTGAATTGAGTCACTGGTCCAGCCTAGGGTAAGCTCCATTAAAATGAGACCGTTTAGAGTGCACTAATAAAGCATGTCATTGTATAAAACAAGGATCTCATTTATAGAAGTTAAAAGCAAAACACAGAAACAACTAAGGATTAACAACTGGAGCTTAGATACTGCAGTCTATGGTATTTCACTTTATGTTATTTCACATTCAGAGATTGAGTCTGAGTTAATTTTTTTACCTGAGATAGATGAAAAATTCTTGAAGCCGATCATTTCAAGTTTTGGCTTGACTATCTCCAGGAGTTCTGGAAGCTGAAACACACATTTTGGATACTAGTTTCTTCTTTCAATCAGAACAAGCAGCTTCTCACCCACAAACTCAGACATGATTAAGTAGTGCTGAAACCTAAGCCAGAACTTGCAGGTCAAAGGCCCCATCAAGTGGGAGTCATGTTCTCAGTACAGAAGCACACAGCAAGGGACGACTGGCTGCATGGCCACTAAAGGCAGAAGAAAAGCACAAAATTCATTTTTCAGCTCTCCATGACACCAAAACTGCTCATAGTAATAGCCCATGTTTTCTCAGAATGCAATGCATTTATTCAATCACACAAAACATAAACTGTGGAAAGCAAAATCCATCTGGAGGTGTAAACTCTATGAGTGTCCCATAAAGTTCTCTGAAGGCTGAGAGCGAAACATGAGCTCGACAAAGAACACAGATGGGGAACTTTCAAACACATGGAGCAGTGAACTGCAAATTACAGCCCAGCCTGCCACAGGCCACGCCCCAGCAGAGCGGAGCTGATGAGGAAAGTGGAGCCCGACTGTGCCAAGAGGTTAGGTTACTCCTGAGCAAGGAGCAGTGGGCAAAACACAACACAGCAGCTCCCAGGAAGCGAAGATGTGGCACACTCAGAGGTTGATGGTGGAGAGGACAAGTAGGGAAATGTCCACTGGGGCAGAACATCCTTGCCAGCTGCCCGTGATCCCACAATTTACAGATTCATATATCTCCCAGTGCAGTTAAGCTCACCCAGTCCTGAAGCCTGTCCAGGTCTGAGACCACATACACCAGCTGAGTGCTGGAAATGGATGGTGTCTGTACTTCTGAAGAATGGCTTCCTTGGTCTTCGGAAGGGTCTTTGCTGCCAGCCAAAGGTTTTTTATTCTCCTTGGTGCTTTCATTTGAAATGGGCCTGACAGAAATCTGGGAAAAGATTTGAAGGACCACTCACTGACTGACACACAGGGCATCTGTACTTGCTCAGGAGCTCTGCACACACGCTAGCTATGCACAAGCACCGAGAGAAGGATAGCAGGCCTGTCCCAGGCAGGTTTTGGCCCTGCTCTCCTTGTAATTGCTGCTCCTGGCTGTCTTCTGACATAGCCTGTGGGGCAGGACAGTCTGAGGAAGTCTGTGAGCAGATGAGAGGGAGGAGACTTTCACAGAGCTCCATCCCACCTCACAACTCAGCTCAGAAATAAACCCTCACCACAGCCACAAACAAAAGCCATTTTGCCAAATTAAAGAAGAACAGAGACTCAAGGTGCTTAATGTTTCAAGCCCACAGGGTAAAGGCTGGCGGATCTATGACTGGACCTCAAAGGCTAATAGAGAAGAGTGTGCCTGTCACTCACTGCCCTCTTTGTGGTGTACTTCTTCTTAAAGACATCCTGTTTAAGGATTCCTACACCATGAGGACTGACTTGTATGTCTGTCACTGAGGGTGTCCCTGAGGTGGCTCTAAAGACTGAGGTCTGCAAGGACCTAAAGCGGGAGCCCAGTTCTTAGTAGTACTGACCTCCTGGGGATAAGAGCTCCGGGATCTCCCTGAGTGCCAACTGAGCAGAGTGTGTGGAGAGCTAATACATTTGAGTACCTGAAGAAGGTAAAGAGGTCCTAAAATAGAGGGCAACTACTTTGATGATCATACGACCATTTAAAACTTAAACCTACTTACATTTATTTCTAGTGTTTTTTTTTTTTTTTTTTTTTTTTTTTTTTTGTTTCATTTTATTTCCAAGGTGCTTTGAGTCAGATTTTGAGAAGAGAAAAAAACTTAGTAAGTGGGACTTCTTAGTAACTAATTCTGATCATGTGGCTAGGTGTCCATAGCTAGATCTGATATCATGGCACATTTTGAATATCCTGTGGGTGTTTAGCTACATGCCACTTTAAGTTCTACCAGTGCTGACTGTAGAGAGGGGCTGCTTGCTACTCACTTCACTGACAAACACAGAGAATCGGGCCAGAATCTGCAAGGTGAGTCTCCACAGACGGTGTGCCAACAAAGGCAGAAACATCTCATTGGACCAGCATTTCTCCAGGCTGCTCCATGTTCTGTGAGAAGCCAACAGGCAATATGGACTTCCATCTGGAGAAAAACCACGGACCCAGGGCATATCATTCAGTTATAGCTACCATCAGCATACAACTCAAAATAAAGCACAGGGCATGCCATGGCCTCATGGCCACAGAGATGCTAGAACAGCACAAGACCACATGTCTTCAGTGTGATGTGTTTGGTAACTCACCTGAGTCTGTTTCCCAGACATGGGAGCTAACACCAAACACAGCACTGAACTATTTTTTAACTGGTACTTTATACCACAGCAACATACACAATGGTATGTGGCAGCTTGCAAGACTTAAATTTCAGTTTTTACCCCCTCAACATGGCTACTATCCACACAGAGGAGGTCAATCCCTTATGACTACTTCTGCACAGATGGACAGATGGACAGAAACAACTCAACTCAGTAAGAGGTTTCAGACTGGCATAGACCTGGCTGTGTTAGTGCAGGCACTGAAGCAGGAGGACTGGGAACCTGTGTGGCACAGAAATATTATGTATCTCAATGGCTGTCCAGAATGGTGCATCATAAGTCTGATCACCTGCAGCTGCCATCTGCTCAGAGTCCTTGCGAGGCCTAGCTTGTGCCAATTAAGTCTTTGTCAGGAAGAAACAGGAGCATGCAGACCCATGTGCAGCCTGCACATGACTGGGTTGGGGGTAGGAAGAAAGGTGAACTGCCAAAGTCTACAGACAGCTGACTGAATCTACAGCATTCCACCATGGATATGCCCAATCTCAAGAGCACTGGTCAGAGTCCAGAGTATACAGGGACCATACACAGGGGTACAGCCGTGATATGTTGCATTCAGGATAGAAAAGGTCACTTTTTAACTTTGTAAAGCATCCCTTTTTATCATCTTTCCAAAGCAAGAAACTTGATGAACCAAAAGACTGTTTTCTGTTTTGCTGCATTTTAAAAATAAATAAATAAATAAATTCTAGCCAGATGGTGGTGGCACACGTCTTTAATCCCAGCACTTGGGAGGCAGAAGCAGGCAGATCTCTGTGAGTTCAAGGCCAGCCTGGTCTACAAAGTTACACAGAGAAACCCTGTCTCGAAAATCTAAAATAAAATAAATAAAGAAAAGGAATTTCTGAGAATTACTGGTAGAGCGCTTGCCCAGCATGTTATGGGTCCCTGAGTTCAGCAGTACAAAAAGAATTATTTATTTATTTTGAGATGTCAAGCCAGTATCCTTACAGCACAACTTACTGTATGGTGAGAAAAGGCAGGAACATTCTCGGGACCAGGGTTGAGCTGGCTGGTGAGCTCAGCTAACCCCTTTAGGGGACACCTGCTGTTTCCATTCTAAGGTTACCTGGGGCGTCTTCTAGCCCGTCTGTGAGTGATGCTTCTAAGGATCCTGCCACTTCTCTAAACCTGAGAAAGAAGGACATGGATCAGTGTTCTGCAAATGCTTTTCCTTGCCTAGCCTCCTTTCTTGCCCACTGAAACCCCATATTCTCAAGGATATTCAAGACCCTTTTTTCTTTTTCCTATGTGAGAGATAAAGTCCTCAATTAAGTCTCTATTTTGCAGGGTTCTCTGCTATTTGCAGCTAGTCTCAAATACACATCATCTGAGCCTTATTAAGAGGATTCCTTAAGTTCCACTTTTTAGTAACACTTCAAGGCCACTCATAGTGCTATCTCTAAACCGCTACATCAGCAAAAGCACAGTGAAGAAATGTCCCAAACTAAGACACAGGAAAGCTGGCTTTATACGTGCGTTTGTCACTTGAGGGAGATTTTCAAGGTCCCAGTCACTGAACATGCCATGCCATCAGCCTCTGCCTATCCCCAGCGCCCAAACACTATCAGATCTGGATTTCACGAATGGAGACTTTGTGTTTTCCTGACTGCAGAATGAAGCTATTCTTTGGATCTGACAACTGGCTGCATCCATGGACACTGTTTCTAACTGCACCAGCCTTTGCACGTTCTTGCACTTGCTAACCCTCACTAACAGGGAATTCTGACTTATGCTCAAGATGAGGTCATCTAAGTGACACTAAGAGTCACTTCATGGAAATGAACTGTGCAGGTACCAGGCAAACCTATGATAGGCTGGCCTTGGCAATAAGAGAGAAAAGGCAAGAAGCATAGAAAAGTGGTAAGAGCTCCAGGGAGCAGCCCCCAAGTACAAGGACTAGAGGAAGGCTGCGCGTAGCAGCAGTACATACCAGCCCCTAGAACTCTGCCTCAGCCCCACAGCATCTTTCAAAATCTACACAAAACACAGAAAAGGAGCCTGATACAGAGGCCTAGGGCCTAGCTCCACTGTCCACAATGGAAAGGTGGAACCATCTAAGAGGCACATCCAAGGTGAGGATGTGCCATGATTGTGGTAGTCTGTGGAGTAGAACATAGTACCAAACACAGAACCTGGTACTAAAAAGGAAAACAGGTTTAGTTTAGCAAACTAGGTAAAGGAACAAGGCCCCAAGTTATGTGAACATTTGTGAAAATTCACAGAAACAATGGAAGGGAGCCCCTACAGCAAACACTCTGTTTAACAGTGGTACATATGCTGGTGAGCCAAGAAACACAACTCAGAAAGAAAGGTCCAAGACAGCAGGCAGAGCTGCCTTAGGGAGGCCAGTGCCTTGCAACACTTCTGACCACCATGGTGAACTCTGAGCAGCCATGCTATGGCCAGCCTTCAGATGCACTAGAGCGTCACTGTGCATGGGATCTCAGCAGGAGAGGAAAGACAGCTAAACTCTAACTTTTGGGTTTGGGGAAACACTCCACACACGTTTCTCCCTGAGCACCATGGTCTACAGGAAAGTAAAAGCACTCTTACACCTGTAGCAGCCCAGAGTGGAGGGTGCCACTCTCTCTCTGCTCTAAGTACCAGACAGCATGAAGCGTATATAATCTGTGGACATGCAGCTCTGAGAATAGGGACTAGGGAGACAGAGTGAAGATACCTAAGCCTTCATACCATGGATTTCACATCAAAGAAGGAACTACAAATCATACACTCACAGAATGTTCTGGAAGCACATTCCAGAAACTTCTACTTGAAGGGCCAGCACTTCTCTGAACAATCTGAAACTTTCTGGGTCATGTGTGCATTTATTTTCTCCACTAGGGACAGAACAGACATCTACTTTCCAATATGCCCGTAAGGGTCAACGTCAAGCAGACAGACCAAGATCTCTGGAAGGAGCAAACCCAAGGCGGCTCATAAGAAAGGCTGTTGTGTGGGCTAGGCTGCCTTTTCCTAGGGTGGGCAAGCAGTGCTTGTCAGATGCAGCAGTTCACACCGATCCTGAGAGCCCATCAGTACATTTTAGCAAAACCTCTAAGTACCAGAAGCCTATCCTCGGGCTTGCCTTTTGTGGTTTCTGTTTTTTTGAGACAGGGTCTCCCAGTCTGGAATCTTCTCACCCTGCATCACAGTGCTAAATAACAGGTATATGTAAGCTACCACATCCTGACTCAGGTTTGTTTAAATGGTTCTCAAATATTTGTGGTAATAGTGTTACTCTGACCTCAGCCATGTTGACAGAGCTGTCATTTCTCAGAATAAACACCCAGGAAATGTTCTGCAAAATCTTGTATTATCCCTTGGATGAAAGAAGAATTGAACTGAAAGAGCTACACTTTATAATTTAAGCATACTCTTAAAATTGCAAATGAAACAGTTTACAAAGGCTAATTCTTCAAATGCCAGGGCAAATCTGGGAACAACATCCATTTCTAAAGAGACTGGCTGAGTTTCAGCTCTGTCAGCTAGAGCTGTGTGTAGGGCTACATGGCAGGCTAGGGTGACTGGAATGTGGTATGCTAGGTAGCTTAGGGACCTAACACAGTCTAAGTTGAGTCCCAGGCTACAGGAGCACTGGGGACTCAGTACTGTCTCTCTCTTACAGTCCTGCTCATGGAAACAGTGCTGTGCTGGTTTGAAACCTACACCTGGACTCTGAGGCTTCCCACCCTGGCTCTGGTGATACTCATGGAATAACTGTTTTAGCACAGATCCTGCGCCTTACATTAGCAACCCCTCATTTCTTTCTGAGAAAGTGACTGTGGGAAATGAAGAGCAAGCTCAGAGCATAGGTGACAAGGACACCCAGCTCAGGGCATTGTTACTTCGCTGTTCAATAATGATAAGGTGTTCAGTTCTTACAATTAGGGTAGCTGCTTCTTGATGTTGTTTCCACTGAGCAATTATCTTCAGAGCTTTCCATCATATTTGTGAAGTACTTGGCCAGCCAAACAAGAAAGCCGGTGCCCTTCATGGAACTTTCCCTCATAAGCTTCAGCAATGCTAGTCTGGGCAGGATCTGCTCCACCTCCTTTGGGATACTACAGAAATGGCAGCTCTACTCTGCTTGATTCTTGGGGAAGCAAGCTGCTAGGACTTGTCTGAATTTCTCAGCATTCTACAGATTTGCTTGTTGACATGGTGACAGATCATAAAATCTGGAAGGATAGTATCATGGTCTTCCAGGTTAGGGAACAAAGGTCACAAGTGTCACAGGGGAGAAAATAACTACCTGCTTTTCACAAGCTGAAGGGGGTGACACAGAGCCAAACACAGGCCCAGGACTGGAGGCAGATAGTGAATGGAAAGGACAGAGTGATTGCCATCTAGCACCTTCAGTGCTTTTCATCACAAAGCCAGAGGGACTGTGGCAATGAAGCCAGGCCTGGAGTCCAGCTTACTTCAAGTCCAGTTTCTCTCCCACACCAGAAAACACACACTTTCTTGGTAGTTCAGCAAGCATGATGCATGAACATCTTCACTTTAATTCTGCCATCCATAGAGAACTGCTAACTGGAGTAATATCCCCTCCCCAAAATTTTAAAAGCCTTAATAATAATTTAAAAATTTTAATTAATTAGCAAATGCCAGTTAGCTGAGTGTGGTGACAGGCACCTATAATCCCAGTAATTGGGAGGCTGAGGCTAGAGGATCATGATTTTAAGGCCAGCCTGAACTCCATAGCAAGAGTATGCCTCAACCATGAAAAAGTCTATTTAGAAGGGCAGGATGCAGTGCAGTGACTGACCTTATCTGAAAATAAACAGGTAAGTTCCATTTATTGCTGAAGCTGTGATAGGCAGGGTGTGCTCGGAGTCGCTTCACACTGGCCTGGGAACCACATTGCCGTTCAAACCTCTGTACAAAGTCCATGCTCACTGTGTATTTCTAGAAGGAGAACAAACGGTGGGATTTTCTCTATTAGAACGCTAGACAGTCAGGAGCATACGGCAACAATTGCAGTGAAGATAGTAAAGCTCAACACAGAATCAAGCTAGAGCTGACTGACCTTAGGGCAGCTTACTTCCCCAACTTCCCACCTCACTAAAGCTTCCGCCACACCCAGAGTGGCTCTGTGGTCCCCTGGACCCTTAGGAAAAAGCCCATGGGAAGCCCAGGTGTCACACACAAGGCCAGGGCTTTCTGAATGACACAATCCAGTTCCAGGGCAGTGGTGATCTCTGCATGGAATCACAGACAGGAGATTAAGCAGCATAATTCATCAGCACCTCTCCACAAGCGGAAGTTATTTAAAAGGAAATGGGAAAGAGAATCCATCAGATGAGACACACCAATCCTGTGGATGAGAGGTGAGAGGGCTGACTGACAACACTAAACGGAGTGCACCATCAGCACCGACTTAACCTCCCTACTGTCTGACAAAGGAGTCATGACAACCATTCCTCCTTCTACACACACAGCTTTCTGTGGGATCTCCATCCCTAAGTGCCAGGCTCCCTGAAAACCCTTCTGGACTTTTTGCTCTTTCTCAGTTAGAAAGGGCTCAATACCCTGTCACCAAATCCACAGGTCTTACATTTCTTTCAGCTACTTGCGGTATGTCTTACCCTCTGGTGTAGTCTAGGTGTAAGAAGCTGAGACAAAGTGGACAGAACTGTCTCTGAAAACAGGGAAGACTAAAAGAGTACAAAGGCCCACCCCCTTCAGAAGAAGCATGGCACGGACTTCAAGCTGAAGGCATTTGTTGAAAGCGGTAGAGACCCACAGAAACTGCAGCCATTAACACTCGGCCTAAGGGCTGCTTAGTCCTGTTCTACAGTCCTGGAGTTCAGGTTCTCTCAGATAGGTTCCCTTCTGAGCCCAAAACTCTGCTGAGTCCATATGAGTCTCTAAAGAACACAGAGGCATAGAAAGCTCCCTGATCAGCTAGCATCTACATGGCTTTCACCCCATTTATGATATCTAATCTAAAAAACACAATAGTTTTCAAAATCATAAAACCTGGTTACAAACTTTATCAAAACATAAGTTATCACAGTATTTAAGAGTCTACATGCAGGACTAACAGCACAGTGGGTTTCGCTGGTAAAGGAAGCTCCAGACTTGTCCGAACCAAAGTCCACCAGTTAACTGTACCCCTACACAGCTGAAAGGATCAACAGATTAAACAGGCAGATTAGAGAAAGCAAAGAGAATTAGAAATGACCATGATGGCAATTAACACCAAGCACTCAATACTCAGGAGTGACAGTTCACACAGAACTGAAGAAAACATTCCCTCCTGAGAAGACAGGCCATAGCACCATCTGGAGTACAACAGCGAAGTGGCAGGGAGAATAGAGAACTTGAGGAATGAGAGACAGTAACACCTGAAGAGACAACACATATGACATAGCAGAGTGAATTAAAATACTAGTCCTCAGTGCAGGAAACCCAAAAAAGCCCAAGGGTAATAAGATGTTCAAACACGCCAGAGTCAGACCCTAACAGCAACCGGAGAGGACAGACAGATCAGTAGCTCACTGGTTACTGGGCCAAAGAGCTCTGCATGCCAAGAGCTCCATCTCTATCAAACTACCTTCTCAAAAGAAATGCAGGGGTAAACTGAGCGCTTATTGTAAAGACACGAAGTATGTGGTCAATAAGCCTTACTATAAAAGCCTTCCAAGGGACCAGAAGTAGGAAGAAGAAAGAATGTGCTGACATCTTCAGTGAGCAACAGTGAACAGCAGAAAGGATAAACCCAGGGAGTCATTTACAGAGTGATGACTACTAAAACCAGGAAATGTCAAATTTTAAACATATCAAAGCCTAAGTTACAAAAGAACAGGAAAAGAAGGGAGAAAGGGGAAGAAACAAGGAAGTAACCAGGGCAGAGGAGAACAAAGCAAGCCCCACCACACCTTCAAAGTCACATAATTAAAATACAGTTTTTATGAGGAGATCACCAAAGCAAGCTCCAGAAGCAGGAGCCAGGGGAAGACCGATCTTCATGCTCAGATACATCAAAGACAACAGTGGGCCTCGAGCACCGGAGCGCCTCCTGCGATCTTCAACATTCTGCTACTTCTCCTCAACATTACAAAACAGAAAGAGAGATGTGTGGCACGTGTGTGGGAGGTGCTGGGAATCAGAACTCAGGTTCTCACACCAGGAGCTTTCCCACATCAGGAGCTTTCCCACACCAGGAGCTCTTACCTAGCTCACACTTGAATTCTCATGGGAAACAACTACATGGATACTCACTTTATGTGGGTCTTGGGACTTTTTAAAGGAATGTAGAAATTACTGCATATATCTATACACAACTGCCTCTAGATTGAATTATGATCACAATCTAAGATGAGAATGTGGTCTTAGAGATAGCTCAACAGTTAAGTGTGCATACTGCTCCTTTGCTCGCTCCTTCCTTCCTTCCCTCCCTGTCCTCCCCTCCCCCCTCTCCTAAAGGGTATGGATAATTTGCCTTAGTGTATGTCTGTGCCACTGGCATGTCTGGTACCTGTGGAGGTCAGAAAAGGCTTTGGATCCCTGGAACTGATTGTGTGGGAATTTAATCTATGTTATCCGGAAGAGCAGCCAGTGCTCTTAACCACAGAGCCATCTCTCCAGTCCACTTCATACTGTTACTGTAGGGGACTCAAGTTTGGTTCCTAGTACTACATCATGAGGCTTACAATCAACTCTAACTCCAATTCTGGGGGAATCTGATGCCTTCTTCTAAGTGCACATACCCATCCCCTCCAATTACACATACATAGAAATAAAATCTTAAAATAAAAAGAGAACTTTCTCATTCCTCTCCAAGTACCATATCAATACTTGAAAGAAGCAGTTTGTGTTCAACAAAAACTCACTCAACAGTCAGTTTTGTTTTTTCATTAACCCAAAGACCAAAACTATGTCAATGAAAATGTGACTTTCCCTAGGCTAGAGAATATTTTTTAAGAACCAAGATGATAAGACATTACCTCATGAAAGGCGTCAGGATCCCCAGGATTGAAGAGTGAGGGTAGCTTTTCCTCTAGTCCTCGAACTATTTCTGGCCACACAGAATTCACCAAGAAATCATAGCCAGGAACAATAGCACCTTTCTCACTGTGGGACAAGAGCCAAGACCAGTCAGCTCACTCTACCCTCTACTTACTGCATGGTGTTTAAATAAAGGCCCTCAGCCTAAACCTTTTTTTAAAAAAACTGTTTTAAAGACTATACTTTGTGTCTACATTATTTCAATTTCACTTCTGGGTCTCAGTGTCATACTGACCCTGACTCCCTGACACCTCCTCCACGATCCTGTCAGGGAGAAGGCAAAGTCACTGCATAAAAAGTTGATGTAACTCTTTCACTCACGGACAGCCATCCAGACTCTTAGCTTGGGAACACCAGCCTAAAAGCAAGCATAATGGCACAGCCCTGCTCTCTCAGCACTCAGGAGGCTGAGGCAGAAGAAATATGAGTCCCAGGCTAGCCTGGGCCACACAAAAAGACATGGTGTCAAAAACAGTAGCCTCACACCACAGGAAGAGCAACCTTTGCATTCAAGACACTTACTATAAGCCATGCCAGTTTCCTAACCCATCTGCTCCTAAAGCGCTGTGCTTTCATGCTCTAAGAATGTATTCAGTTCTAAAAATCTATGATATTTCATCTAAAATCTTGGTACAGATCTTGATAATGTGTGTGTGCTTTGTTTTGTAGTGTCTGGAAATAGGTACTGGATTTCTAATCTGCAAATTCAGCACCGTGATAAAAGTACACACTTAAGCTCATAAAGCGGTTTCTGTATGAAAGAGGTCAGCTGACAGTACAGGACCAGACAGTGAAGGGCCTCCTCCATTGTGCCAGGAGGCTGCACCCTCCCCACGAGCACTGATAAGCCCTGAGAACAGGGGAGAAGGTTCAGCATGATCTGAGAACTGGAAACCTGCTCGGGTCCTACTAAGTTAGACAACAGAAGACTGGTCAGATGGCAATGGTTAAAGCAAAGGATTAAAGCAAATGGAAACTGACTAAAAGGAGGAGAACTAAAGACAGTTTCAGGATCAGTATAAAACTTGCCGATTTCAATACCGGACACTGGGAAATAGCCGATTGGGAGGATTTATGCCTTGCATGTACAAGTTCCTGAGTTTAAGCCCAGTACCACAAAACTAGAAAATGCTTGTTTGGATTATGGAATGATATTTGGACCATGAAAAGAACATACTTTCAGTTTAAACTGGACTTGGGAAGAAGGCAGTCCAGAAGAGGAAAATGGAGGACTCCATTCAGAGACACAGCCTGAGTCTTGGCTTTGTTGCAGCACTTGCATTCAGATCTGCCTTCCTGAAGCAGGGAGGAGCAGTAACACACTAGGCTCACAATGGACTAACTCACTAAGCCAGCCCTAGGGAGCAGCTCAGGCTGAACCCTTGAACTTACCTTGACACAGCTCCTCCTGTGACTTCCCGGAGAAGGCGGCAGTGGTGAGGGACGAATTCCAGGAGCTTGTTATACATGAGTTGAAGGCCACTGGGATGAGACTCAACAAACTGTTCTACAATCACCTGTTTAAAAAAAAAAAAAGAAAAAGAAAAAAGGAAACTATTTTAAAATAGCCTTTAAAAGAAAAACACAGATACTACAAAGGTGGGAGGGGAAACTTGGGCTACTCTCCTTTTTGGCTGTTATTGACTTGAACTCATTAAGAAATCAGCTGGCCTAAATCTCACAGAGATCAGCCTGTCTCTACTTCTACAGTGCTGGGATTAAAGGCCTTCCATCATCACCCAGGTCAGCTGCATATCTTCTTTTCCCTTTTTTCTTTAAATTTGTAACAAGGTTGTTTTGCATGTCAATCCCAGGTCCCTCACACTCCCACCCTCCCCTATCACCCCCACCAAACCCCAGCCCATCCCCTTTCTGCTCCCCATGGAGGGTGAGGCCTTCCATGGGGAGTCTTCAAAGTCTGTCATATCATTTGGGGCAGGGCCTAGGCACTCCCCTGTGTGTCTAGGCTGAAGGAATATCCCTCTATGTGGGATGGGCTCCCAAAGTCCATTCATATACTAGGGATAAATACTGATCCATTACTAGAGGCCCCATAGACTGCCCAGTCCTCCTAACTAACACCCACATTCTGGAGGTCTAGGTCAGTCCTATGCTGGTTTCCCAGCTATCAGACCGGGGTGCATGAGTTCCCCCTTGTTCACGTCAGCTGATTCTGTGGGTTTCTCCAGCCTGGTCTTGACTCCTTTGCTCATCACCACTCCCTCTCTGTTACTGGATTCCAGGAGTTTGGCTAGTCTTTAGTTGTGTCTGCTTCTGCTTCCATCAGCTACTAGATGAAGGCTCTAGGAGGCAACTCCATATTTTTAAATAGTAAAACTAAACTGGTCCCATTCAGAACCAGTTGCTATCTTCAGCTGTGGCTCTGACCTGATGTGGGGAAGGAGACTAGGTGACAGGGTCTGGCCTGAGACTGAAGAAACTGCTTCCTCCAGACTAGGTCCAGATTAGAGCAAGGGTTCATTACAGCTCCTCACAGCCTAACCCTGGCCTTTTCTATCACTGCTAGGCTTAGGGGAGGGTATAAGGCAGACAAATGAAAATATATTTCACTTTAATTAATTTATTTTTGGTTACAAGGTTGATGTAACAGGAACTGTATGTTTTAAAAGGGGCCATAACTCACTTAATGAGAAATGTTTTCCATAGACTCATGTCTGAATTCTTGGTTCCCAGAGGTAGAAGCTTCACTATGGATGAGCTTAGAGGGTTTATAGCCTTACCCTACTTCCTGTTCCTGCTCTCTGCTTCCCATATACAGGCAAGAATGTGATCACCCAGCTTTAGCTTTCTGCTCTTGCCAGCATGCTAAGCCTTCTCTGCCATTACAAACTCCATCCCTTTGGAACTGTAAGCTAAAATAAACTCTTTATGATGATTTACCACAGCAACAGAAAGCAAACTAATACACTCGATGTCCTACAAACTTCAATGGTTTCTTTACTTCAGCACTCCAGACTCACTTCAGTGAAAGGCACAGGCTTGTATCTGCAACTGAGATATCCCACTTACTGGTAAATGCCAGTACAGTTTGTTCTCTTCCCTCCACAGACAGCTATACAGTGTAACAAGATAAAAATGTGAGAAACTGAAAACCTACTTTAGCAATTCTAAGATTGTTCAGGATTAAAATGAATCTCTATACTTAATCAGTTCCCAGCAGAACACACAACTCCTACCTGATAGCTAATCCAATGGGTGAAGGATATTTGCCTAAGAGTCCCACTGTCAGCTTGATGTGAAAGCCCTTCATCTGATTCACACCTTCCGAGCCCTGACAATTTCTCCCCGTTTCTCAAGCTTGACCAATATCTTCTATTCCCTAAAGAGCTGTGGACAGATAGTGTGCCTTCCCTTATACATGCCTCACTGCGCTGGACTCTGTGGGTGCTGTACCAGTTGTTTGCTTGTCTATTTTGTTTTCTAGTGCTTAACTGAGTATGATTCATCACTTTAACAGACCTAAAATATTTTGACCCATGCCTTCTTTCTGGGTGAATTAACCCCAGGTAAGAAGACATATCCCAGCTGCATCATGAACACCCACTGGAATGCACTTAATTCCAGTTACCCATTCCTAGCTAGCATGCAAATCAAGCCCTCACACAAAGCAAAGGCAGCACAGCATGGCTCTCTATAAGCTCCCCACACCAGCAGCACATACCTCATCGACATATGGCTTTACCAGGACTTGGCCAACCAGAGCTTCTGCGTCCCGTGTCTTGTCAATGGTGGCATAGGTACGCAGGCAGTGCCGGATGATGTCCACATTAGAGGTCTGCAAGCCTTCTAGCAGGAGGCCTTCTAGAGATTGCTGCAACATTGCTGTGATGCCAGCTATGCGCTGTGGGAAGCCATTAGAAAGCTCATATCACAATGGTTTCCAAACTTCAAATGGCTGTACACACACTGGTGCCTGACCCACAGAAGGCAGTGTGTGGACACTTAAAAGGGGACCTTGCCTGAGTTAACAGCCTATCTCTTCCCATAACCTTTCTCCAAGTAGATCACTGACTCAGCAAAGACAAATTTACAAAGGCAATCATAATGAGAAATGTCGTCTTCCTCTGAAGCTATAAGGTAAGTTGGTTTCTGACAGACATTATAGATTTAAAGCTTGGCTCATGGGCCATTAAGAGTAATTGCTGCTCTTGTAGAGGACCTGAGTTCAGTTCTTAGCACCCACAGTGAATGACTTACAACCACCTATAACTCTAGTTCCAGAACACTTGACACCCTCTTCTAGCATCTATGGACATCAGCAAACACACATGCACTCAGGCATGCACACAGAGACTAAATGGTTACAAAAAGAGCTCAGTTTGGGAATTTGGGAAAATTCAATGCTATCTGTGCCATGGTGTCAGATTTAGAATGTTACTCTTACGACTTAGAGAAGGTTTAAGTCTTTCCATAGAATCTGTAGTTAATGAATGTGGAAAATAGAGCCCCCAACAAAAATCCAAGCCCAGGGTCAACATCCTGTAACTCACAATCATGCCAGACATGCTGCTAGCCACTGAATCAGATTCTGTGCATCCCGGAGCCAAGCCCAACCCATACTTACAGGTCTCACTTTGTCCAAAAGGGGCATGCCCTTGCTTTGTACAGCATGAAACTGAAGCTGGTTAAATTCTGTGGCAATTCTCTCCAAAACCTGTCCAGTCAAGAGTGGGCTGGAAGAAACAAGCAGAGAATTTCATTGCAAGGCTGTTGACTTCCCAGAGAACATGGCACCTGACTGGCCACATGGGTCTAAACCACAGTGCTCAGCTTTCAGACAGTGGTGCTCGTTTGAGACAGCAGCCACCTTGCTATAAGGTCAAAAATCAAACTTTGTGCCATCTGTCTCCTTCAAATGGCATACCCAGACTATTCCAGCCTCAGTGGGCCATCAGTAAAGTGTATGTGACTGCTGCTGCTAGGCTGCATGCCACAGGACCACAGGGTCACAGAGTGCCGTGTGCACCCCAATTGCCCTCACTGTCCCTGCTTTGACTGTATGTCTTTCTCCTACTGTGATCCCTGAACCTTCTCTCCCCCTTTACTTGCTCATCTCTCTTCTTCTGAAATACCTCTGATACTTCTAAAACATCAAATTCTTTTGCCAATTTAATAAAGTAGTCCTAATTGTAGCAATAATTAAATCTCTTAAATACCTTCCTACTTAAATAATAGCTTAAAGTTATGTTACCAATAGTTAAAGGGCACCCTCTATATGCTGTAGGTCCTAGAGAGAAGGCAGTGTGCAGCTGCCATAAAATACAATGCAAGCACCTGTCCCCTAAAACATGATATAAAGTACCAATGCCATGCAAGGAGGAATGGGGAAATGGTGAGCTGGGAAAAATGTCCCTAGCATAAGGACACAGGAACAAACATCACAGTGAGGACATAGGACTGTCTGGCTCTGGACTGTCAAATCAAAACTAGTTGAGAGTGGAAGTGAAAGGGCTGCCCAAAAGATGCTCCTGTGTCTGCAGCTCTTCTCCTGGAGCCTGGGGTTGTTTATGTCTAGTCTCTAAACCCCCCTCAGCCTAACTACTCACTAATTTGTCCTTACCTCCCCTTTGCTACAGCGACGCGTATTGATCTGAGCTAAGCAAAGCTCCCAGTGGTGATCCAGAGCAAAGCAGGCACAGTGTGACAGGTGTTACTAATCCCCAGGGCAGCTGGAAGTCCATCCATTTTTCCCACCTGGCGCCTTTGTTGGGAGTCTACCAGCAACTGACACTGGTAGTAAGGACTGGCCCTGATGCTGGAGACCTTATAGTCTGACAGGAAAAGGACTCAAGTCAACCAATAGCTTCTGTTCATGGTGGCTATGCAAGCCCGATGGCAGAAGGGAGGTGGAGGTCAGGGAAGGTTTACTGTGGTATCTTCTGTGTGTATTGTCTGTACATTGTGATGCAGAATTGCATGAAACTTTCAAGAGCAGAAGACATCAACAGTATCCAAGATGACAGAGCAAATGTCACAAACAAGTGCTGCCCCCCCCACCCCCTTTAGCTTCTACTTCCATTTAGCACAGTGCTACACCACCTTTCCATACCTTATGCATGTTCTGAGTGAATCTGGAAACACATTAAGTGAACTGGGCAGTCAAAGGGAGGTGGCAATGAAAGAAAGGCCCTCAGTAAGAGGGACAGCGGGTCTGGATACTAGGCTCAAGCCTGGATCTTGCTGCAATCAGAGAGCCACAGATCTGGAGAATGTACAAGTGATGAAGGGAGGCTGGGGATTTGAATTCCCAGGATGACTAGGCATTGAGAAGCTGAAAGATCATATTGCTGAGGCATGCACTGAAAGGGTGGGAAGCCAGGCCTAAACCTGGCAGAGGAGAAAGTGAGAGGGAGCAGATGCAGCCATGACCCACCATCAGCCTGCAGCTCCAGCCTAGTGCTCAATGGGGAGATGAGCAAACACTGAGAACTGCTCCACCAAGATTCCAAGCTGGCACTAGGGTAGAGGAGGGATGGGTTCTAGACATGAGAAAGGGAAGGAAAGGGAAAAGAGAGCAGTTTCACCCTAGCCAGCAGGAGAAAGGACACGAGTACTCATTTCCTGAGATAAGGGAGAAAGAAGAGTAGAGCTCTTCTGCCTTGGAGAAAGTGGAGAAAACACAAGAGAGTCAATTTCTCACTCGATGAGTACACATGTCTGAAGAATGGCTGGACAGGCTTTGGTGGGGTCAGACCAATCCCAATCCCAGCCTGGAAAAGCTCACATGTAGCGGACAGTTCATTGTCCTTGGTAAGGTTACGTGAGGACTCCCAGGGTATGTGTTAAGTGTAGAGTTCTGAGACTGCACCCTGGGTTGAGCAGGAATTAGAGGAAGGGCAGTACAACAGGTTCCCAGGAAAGAAGCTGGGATAGGCATCAGGTGCTGACTGAGGACAGGTCAGGAGGGACTGTCACAGTGTGCAGCAGGCAAAGCCAAGTCAACACCACTGGCCCCTAAGCATCCATCTCCCAAATGCTGGGATTATAGGCAGGTGACACACAGCTGACTGAGTGAAAACACTCACCTGTTTGCTTCTAGTGAAGATGCATCTTTAGAATTTTGAGAGTTTAAGATTTTTTCAATTTTCTCAACTGATCGAATAACTTGTATAAGTCTCAACACACTCATCTATAAAGATGTCAAATAAAAACAAAAGAGTAATTAGGATATTGAGAGGCAAAGATCAACATTATACATTTTAAATATTCTTCCATAATCCTGAATTCCCAAGAATATAAACTCATTTCTGGCTTGTCTACAGTGAAATTTCAAAAATCTATTATAAGATATTAAATAACACAAAATAAGATGGCAAGCTGTCTTGCCAGCCCTTGTACTTTTTTTTAAGATACATTTCCATGTTTTTTGTTTCCAATATACTCATCTTTCACTGCATAAGCACAGCACACCTACATACCCAAGAATCAGTTTATTACAGACACTTATTACAAAAGTTTACAGAAGGACAAAGGTAGACACATGGTACAATGCTGAGCTGCTGGCAGAAATTGAGCTTCTGACTCTCAAAGTGCACAAGAACACTCTCTGTGCTAGGGACAAATGGCATGCTTGCTAAGCTTTACTGTGGGGGTGCTACTATTTAACTTATTTAATCTAGTGACCACTCAGGCACATCTCCAATTTTGTCTTCCTTCAATAAGCCAGTAAGTGATGAACATGAGAAGCCTGGGAAGTGTTTATAGCATGTAACACATCACTTTAAAACATTATTGCTACTCCTCTCACCTTATTCACAGACCAGGCATAACACCACCTAGGTGCTGCCCTTAATGGCTACACAGACATTCTGATGTCAATATGCTCTTCTCAGTAGAGTACCCTGAGAGAAACCACACACTCCACAGTGGTGATAAGGCACTAGACTGAACCAAGGTTTAGGGGTAGACACCACAGCATACCTTTTTCTTCCTAATGTCTTCTTGCTTAGACATTCGTTCATCTACTGCCAGAATTCCTTCACTGACAGACGACCTAAGACTCTTGAAAATAATAAAAAAATTGTTTTGCAAAAATGAAGTGTAACATTATAAAACTGACACATTCTATTCTATTTCATAAGACTTAGTGAGGCACCCAGGATATGGAGGCACAGTGATATACAAAGCCAAGGTCATGGGAGACTAGTGACAAAAGTGTGGCATACAGGAGACACCACAGCTGGAGTGGAGAAAGCACAATCAAAGCCTGTGTGTGTGAGCATCTGAGATTTAAGATATGGGGCAGACCCTGAAAATCTGTAGACAAGCACAGGAAGTTTTAGAAGGTCAAGAAATGAGGACAGCCCCGTGCAGGGTGAGCAAGGCACATCCTGGTATTTGCAGGCTTCCCTTTCAAGAGAAGGATAAACTAGGGGTGGGTGTTGGCTTCTTCTTGGGTAAGCTAGAATCTACACAAGAAATATGGATGGATAAAGCATCTTAAGAATGAGGAAATTCAGGAGCCAAGAAGTCAGGAGCACGAGGCTAGAACAGAGAAAAACAAAACATATCCAAAAGCTACCGAATTAGGCCAACTAGGAGATAATTAGGAATGAAGGCAATGAAAACTAGAATAAAATGGGTAAATCACAAAAATTCTACAGAAAAATAAATTCACTCATTCAATAAATGTTACAAAATGTTGTAACATTGGCTACTGGCAAGCCAAACAATGGCACACTTTAATCCTGATCTCAGGATCTCAAAGGCCTGCTTTAGGGCTGAGGATAAAAAAAAAAAAAAAAAACACCCAGCAGAGTGTGGCTAAAGTGACTAGCATACAGTGGGGAAGGGGAAGGAAGACAGCAGAATAGAGGGAAGGTTTGAGGTGATGAGCTGGCCACAGGCAAAGAACAGTTAGTTGCTATTCATCTCCACAGAAAGCTGAGGGTGGGGCTCTGGGAACTCTGGGAACTCCAGGTACAGTCACAGGCATGTGGAACCCAGGAGGGGAACACAGAATCATTCCCCTTCATCCTATGAAGAGTGACTCAGGAGAGCCTCAGAAAAACAACCAAGACATCAGCATCCACACTGCTTGCGAGTTCAAAGCCCAGCTATGGAGGTAACACCCACCACAGGCCTCCTTCCTTGCAGACACCTGACACTGACACCATTTCCTCATGTAATGAAGTCTACCTGTGACATGTTCAAACATGGTCTAAGGTTTTTCAAGCTCATGTGATACACACAGGTCACTCTGGGACAGGAAACCAAGTACATGATAGCTCCACAGTGCCAAAGGTCCTAGCAGTCAGGGGACCTGAGGCAACCGTGGGGTGGACCAGGAGGCAAAGGACAGGGTAGCACAGTGACCTTCTGACATGATGCCAAACTTCCCTGTAATGTTCACCCAGAAGTCCATCTCCAGTGGCTTCCTTGCACTGCACAGTACATCAGAGAAACATTACAACTCTTGTGTGAGAATATTTCATTAAATTGGTATCATCCTTAGGTGCTTAAGGGTTTAAGGAGCTCTATGAGCAGGGTAGGTGTAATTTAAGAAAAGTGGCGCTCGAAAGATGCCATGTAGTGGGTTTTTTGTTTTTTTGTTTTTTTTTTTAGTTTAGGGAAAGGGATCATAAAAAGGAGAAAGGGAAGGGGGGAGACCAGCTTCTGGAGATAGGAAAGAGAAGGAGAGAGAGGAGAGAGAAAGAGAGAGAGAAGGATGGGAAGTAGGTAGTGCCCTTTTAAAAGGGACATAGTGAATATGCACAGGCGGTGCTTTTAGTGGCTGCAGCTGAGGGCATATCCTGTCAGAACCCCAAAGACAGGCCAATGAAGATGCCTCCTGAATACTAACAGTAGGAACCTAAGCACACATCATTTATCACCTGGGAAAACACTTATAAAACAGCAAATGCTTATGATATAAGCCAGCTCTGACCCAGTGACTGGTCACTGACAGACTGAGTCTCTACCTTTTCCTTCTCCTCCTCCAGTCACTTTAAAGCCATTCACCAGAAGATGGCTTTACACCAGTCATGCTGTAGACTGCAATATCACAAGCTAAAAGCAGAGAATAATTTATCTGTAACTCTTTTTGAGATGTAAACTTTCTGACCATTCCAAAACAACAAACTGGCAGACTAGAAATTCTTGGATCTCTAAGCAGATAGGCATATCATGTTTTATGCTAAAGAGTGGGGGAACTTACCAGAACCTCTTCTCGTAATTGTCCCAAAGGCACAGAAAGCTGGTTGAGGGCTCTGTCCATGCCGACCTAGAGGCAAAATCATGACAGCTCAAAATCATCAGTCCTAATCCAGTGTAACGATCTGTGTAACGATCGAAGTGTCCATGATCACTGTTGGCAGAGTACAGAAACGATTGTGGCTATACATGTAGACCATGGGAAGAAGGATGTCAGAGTATATAAAAGCCTCCTTTCATACTACTTATCTTTGGATGATTTTTTTTTTTTTTTTTTTTGGTGACACTAGAGAGCACTGAGTACAAGTGCTCACCACTGAGCCCTGGCCCCCAGTGTAAGTTTAATGAGTAAAGATTTTAATCAGAAGTGACTGTTATCTGAAAGTGATGATTTTCAACTGACTGCTGCCAGAGTCTGATGGACATCTCACCTAAACCTTATAACTATTGGGGGAAAGCCAAACTAAACACAATGGAAATAAAACTCTCTAAGTTCCTAATTCTACTGGAACAACCATCTTAGTAACTGTAACACATTCACAACACAAACACAGTTCATTCATTTTCATGTTTCTTAAAAGTCCCAGAGGTTGTAGTTTCTATATGTCTTTGAACAAACATTTAAAAGCAAAATAAAATATGAACAAGATTTAAAAAAAAAAAAAGAAAGAAAAAAGAAACATTTGAGTTTTAAAATTGAGCATTCCTATGCTGCTCTGATAAGTAACTGACATGGTCCTCACAATACATGAAGGCTGGCCTCTTGAGGATCAGTGCTGGCCCTGCTTCCGGATAGCATGTGTATGTGTGTCATGCCACTGAATAGACTCCCACCAAGAGTGGCTGTCATGTACTCTGGCAAAACAGCCTAACCAATGGAACTTGCTGTGAACCTGTCAGCACCCAACAAAAATGGCTTCTTGCTACCCTCCTTTCACTATACTCCCAGGTAATACCCTGTATCTACTTAAGAATAACCAAGGGGCTGGAAAGATAGTTCAGAGGTCAAGAGTACTGACTGCTCTTCCAAAGGTCCTGAGTTCAATCACATGGTGGCTCACAACCATCTATAATAAGATCTGGTGCCTTCTTCTGGTGTGCAGGCATGAATGGGAGATGAGAACGTAATAAATAAGTAAATCTTAAAGGAAAAATACATATCAAATAAGATTATTTTTAAAAAGAAGAATAATCAAGCCACATTGGGTATGGTGATGCACACCTATAATGCAGCATCCCAGAGACAGAGGACTGCTGCAAGTTTGTGGCCAGCCTAGGCGGCACAGTTAAGCTCCAGGACAGCCAGAACAACAGGTTAAGACCCTGTTTCAAAAGTCAGGAATGGCAGCACACACTTTAATCTAGGACTTGGGAGGTAGAGGCAGATGAATCTCTGAGTTTCACGCCAGCAGAGTCTACATATAGAGTGCCAGTACAGCCACAGCTACGGAGAAAGACTCTGCCTCAAAAACAACAGAAACAAAAGACCATCTCAGGAAAACCAAAAATGCAGAGAGTAATAAGATCACAACAGATTTATGTGAGCAAGAACTAAATTAAACCCACCACTCAAGTTCAATCCTTCTGTGATTAACATTAATGAGTGTCATTTGATTTCTAAAATACTGTACTTTTAAGAACAAACTTACACAAAAGAGGACCTATATGCCACACCAGTGGTAGGGACTATGGGGGGAAACTCACTAGGTTTGTTGAGAGGTTGACAAAGTCCGCATAGTCCTTGTTGATGAGCTCCACCATGGCTGTTTTAAGCAGCTTGTAATACAACTCCAGGTCATCTCTCAACTCTTCCAGCTGCACCCGCTTCCTGCAGTCAGACACAAAATGATCCACATCGAAATCCTCCTGGAAAGGACAGCAAAGCCAAGTTACTGTTACATGAAGACAGAAGGAGGAAAGGGCCATCCTACCACAAGGCCAGCCCATTCAGAGCCCTTTCTGGTCACATGCTATGACAGAGGTGCCTGTCCACTCATGAAGGTGTCCAGAAGGGCCAAGGGCAGTCTCCTTGTGGTCTCAGTCTACGGGAATTTAAGTTTCAAAGATGACACAATTCAGTTAAGGCTCTTCTAAAAGCAGAAACAGCTTTCCTCTCTTAACCTCCCAAGTATTCAATGTTCAGTGTAAAATTTTCAATAAACTATGAAAAACAGCAAAGAAAGAAAAAAGAAAATGAAATCTTCATGTTTTATAAGATATACATCACTGATCTATTTTACATTATTTAACATTGTACTTCATATGTTCTAGACCTTTTTTTTATACACACATGCACCTGCACACATACACCTAACATGGTTCTCTCCAAATAATAACACACCTCCAGTATATTTCATAACACACTTGAGTGAGCATTGACATGTTCAAAGCATGGGCTTCCATGCAACAGGTATGGAGGCCAGCACATCCCACTGTGGTCTGTCAGGCTAGCCATACTCTTAGCTTCTCCTCAAGGCATCAGAAGCTCCTGCTAAGCTGATGCACTCACAGGTGGCAGGTTACTATCTACATTACCTGCCACTGAGCCTCCTACTAGTGGAGCTGCTCCATCACCAAGATTCAGGTGTAATGGTTCCCAAAATTGTTAGGGCCCCAAAACACATTATTACAATCACATAAGTCTATTAAACACTGTATAAATCAAAACAATATGACTGAAAAGAGGCAATCATCTTCATGAAAAGTAAAGCAGGTGCTTTGGAAGGACTAGAAACAGGCAATTTGCAAAGTCAAATCTTATCGACTTATATCTGGGTGACATAAACCCAGCAGGGCAGGGGGTGGGAAAGTCACAAACCCAGAAAACTCTACAGCAGATCCTTTGCAAATGCCCACAGGTTCTCACTCCACTGAGAGAAACAAAGTGAATATGAAAGAGACCATACTGTAATGGAACCAGCAGATTAATTTCAGTCATACCAGTGAAGAATAGAGAACTAATACAGAGCTATCTTAAAATATAAAGGTCTGTATACACTATTTCTTCAGGTACCAGTTAAAACTTCAACCAAATACCTGCTATAATCATACAGGCAAAAAGGCTTCCTCCCAAACCAAAGCATCATAGCCACCTACAGAAAAGCCATCTGCTTTTCCATCTGCAGCCACAATCAGCCTGGATGGTTGGGAGAACATGGCCCACAACCCCAGTCTTGGTATAAGCAGGTATATGACCTTGGACAAGACACTGTGACAAGTGGACTGTCTTATTCTAAGTGATTTAGGGTTGCTTGTTGTCACAGCAAGGCTACCTGATGGAGAATTGAAGGTATTCTAAGAAATTTGGTTCTGTCCTCAATCTTAGCCAGAAGGGTAAGAATCAATAGTAACTTGCTTTACTAAGGCAATAGGACCAAGAGTTCAAGGCCAGCTTGGGCTAGACAGCAAATCATTGTTTAAAAAGGAAAAAACAAATGAAGAGAGCATGGTCTGCATGGTTGAGCAAAAAGAAGGGTCTAGCTGACTATACTAAAGCTGTGGAGCGGGTGATGGGATCAATGACAGCCTGCTGTGATTTTAAGAGTAAAAGATGAGTATAATGGTTGATACAGCCAAGTTGACAGGATGAAGAATCACTTTGGAGACAAATCTCTGGGCATGCCTGTGAGGGGATTTCTAGAGAAAGTGAGCTCAACATTGGTGTTCATCACTCTCAGTCTCCTAACCTCAGGTGCAAAGTGACCAACCAGCTGCCTTAAGTTCTGCCATCATCTCTTTCTGCCACGATGGACTGACTGTATCTACTCAAACTGTAAGCTGAAATAGACACTTCCTTAAGTTGCTTTTTGTTAGGTATTTGGTCACAGCAATAAGAAAACTAATACAGTGGGACACCAATGACAACTCTCCAGCCAAAACCTGTGTGTGACTGGGAGTAAGTGAGGTAGAGAAATGAGTAGAAAACAAGAAACAAGTGTGGTGGTTTGAATGAAAGTGGCCCCTATAGGCCCATAGGGAGTGGCACTAGTAGGGGGTATGGCCTTGTTGGAGGAAGCATACCACCCTGGAGGCGGGCTTTGAGGTTATATATGCTCAAGATACACCTAGTACACAGACTCCTTTTGCAGCCAGAAGGTCAAGATGTAGGACTCTTAGCAGCTTTTCCAGTATCATGTCTACCTGCATGCCCTGTTCCGCCATGATAATGGACTAAACCTCTGAAACTGTAAGCCATCCCTAATTAAATGTTTTCCTTTGTAAGAGTTGCTGTGGTCATAGTATCTCTTCACAGTGATAGAAACTCTAATTAACACACCAGATAAGAATAGTCATCAGAGAGACTTCATACAGCAACTAGTGGAGACCAATGCAGAGACCCACAGTCAAACATTAGGCCGAGCTCAGGGAATCCTGCTAAAGAGAGGGAGGAAGGATTATAGGAGCTGGGGTGGGGATGGAGTGTATGTGTCCAGAACAACACAAAAAGACCCACAGAATCAATTAACCTGGGGTCACAGGAGCTCACAGAGACTTATCCAACAACCAGGGAGCCTGTATGGAACTGAGTTAGGCTCTCTGCATATTTGTTATAGTTGGGTAGCTTGGTCTTCTTGTGGATCTCCTAATAGTGGGTGCAGGGGCTGCTCTGATTCTTTTACTGGCTTTTGGGACTCTGTTCTTCATGATGGGTTGCCATGCCCAGCTTTAATGTCAAGTCACTTAGTCTTTCTGCACCTTGATATGCCATAGGGGGCGTACCCTTTTCTAAATAGAAATGGCATGAGAGAGGTAGAAGGAAGGTGAGGTGAGGGGCTGGGAGGAGAGGAGGATGGGAAAACAGTGGTTGGGATGTAAAATAAATGAATGAATAGATAGACAGACAGGTAGATCGGTCCAGGAGGGGGAAAAAAGGACACCAGGTAAGTCTGAAAGCTACCACTGACCAAGTACAGTTTCTGAACCTACACATTCTTCCTCTTATTATGCTCAATAACCAAACCACACCTTCCCATCCTTGTCTCTTCAAGTCCAGGTTTATAGCTGGTACACAGTAGGTGCTCAATGAATGCCTATGGGTCAGTAGATAATTGCTACCATTGCATTAGCAGGTTGTCACCATGGCAATCGAATAGCAGTTTTCAAACAAATGACTGTAATTCATGTAGTCTCAACTCTTCTAATGTGCATCTGATATCCTATCCTTGTTTTTAAAAAAAAAAAATTCTAGGCCTCTGCAAAATATGTTGAGTAAGATACAAACATATAATCTGGGTAGCAGGCACTCCCCCCCCCCCCCTCCAAACCAACTCATAAAATGTTTCTTTAAAGGAAACACAAACAGAGGACCTTAACTTCTGCCTCCACCTACAAAAACCAACATTACACAGAGAATGGCTGTTCTATGTAGTTTCTTCTACAATTGAACTGGTCACATTAACAGAACTACAAATTGCTTGGCACACTCAGAGGTTTGATAGTGTGAAACAGCATGTTAGTGCCAGCAGGCCAGCCATTCATTCCCCCAGTTTGTTGTGTGCTGTTTCACTCCTTGCATTTTGTGCCATCTACTTCCTGATGCTGCGTTTAAGAGAGGCATCATGTCAGTGTGAGAAAGACATAGTGGGTAATGAGGCAGAAAGGCTCCTGGCCCTAAGCATCCGGGAGGCCTGAGTTAACCATGATCCCGGGTGAGCTTTCTTCCTCCAGAACCTATCCCCAATTGTTCCTTTGGCTCTTTCTATCCTCTTTTCATGGTAGCTCTTAGTCACAGCATGGAACACGGGCTTTCTGAATCATTCTTTCAAGCATCCTATTTGAACTCACTCACTAGGGCTGATGAGATGGCTTAGAGGTTAGAATGCTTTGTGCTCTGGTAGAGGACCAGAGTTTGGCTCCCAGCACCCACATGGCAGCTCACCAGCACCTGTAACTCCAACAGTCTTCTTGCCTCTAAGGACTTCTGCACACACTATGCACATAAACTCAGCAAGGCAAACACACATACACATAAAATAATAAATCTACAAACTACACTTACTTCAGTGGCTTAGCAATGTCACTACATAAGAGTGCTTCATTCCTGGCTCTAGACACATCCCTCACACAAAAGTATGTGGGCACAGTAAAGAAGACACATATAAATTAAAGCCAAAACTCCACAGCTTTGGTCATGTAAACTGAATGCAAATACCAAAACAGAGCTGGGCCAATTAAGAGGGAAAAAACCATGTAAAAGGAGAGTCACAAGCATACGCATACACACACACACACACACACACACACACACACACACACACTACTCTAAGACTTACACTCATTTGCTCAATATTTCAGGTGCCAAAGAGACAAAATGTCTAATTTCCTAACCCTGAAAGTAGCTTTGAAGTGCCTCAAATCTCAACTTTAACACATTAACCCACACAACCTGTAGGCTCTCAACCCTTGGAAGGTGATTGAAACAAGAGAATCGAGACCTGCCTGGGCTACAACTCAAAACCCTGTCTCAAGAAAGAAATAAATTTAGTGTAAACATGTTCGGGGAGTATTTTAAGTGGCAACAACGGCAGCGGGGTTGGGGAGAAATACAACTATCAGGGCTAACTCCTTCAGTTCCGCTCAAAGCCTGAACCAAAGCCTGAACCTTTCCCTAGGCTGTGCCTGCCGGGTGAAATTCTATCAGCAAAGTGTTTTCCGTTTGGATTTGTAAGCAGGGCCACTGCTGGGCTGCAGGGTGACGAGGCTGTCATGCTCCAACTCCTTAACGTCAGAGTGAAGTTCAGCCTGGACATCCCCACCCCTTTCTTCCCCGCGTCCCTGCGACCCGCCCGAGTCTCGGGAACCGCAGGGCCTCCTCGACGGCGGACCTGCAGGGTGTCCCTCACCTTCATGAACTCGTCCTTATCGAAGCACAGCGTGTCCGGCCCGGTGGGCAGGTTCATCCTGCGTCTCTCCATCACGCCGCCCGCCGCCACACAGCTCCGAGACTCCACTAGCAAAGAGGACGCAGGCGACACCGCAGGGGACGCGGCAATCCAGCTCCTGCACCGCGCTGGCCCCGCTTCCGCCAGTATGGCGGTGACGCGCGGCAGCCAATAGACGAGCGTCGCGGGCGGCTGCGCACAGTTGCCAGTGGGAGAGGCGCGCCCGAGGCCGACGCTTGCCCCCGGGCGCTACTGCCTCCGGTGGCCGAGAGAGGCACTGCAGAGAAATGTCAAGGACCAGAACATCGCCGTTCTTTCTCTTAAAGGACAGTCTGTCCCAGAGCTGCCTACAGTCCCAGATCAGCCTCTACCTTGGAGAAAACCTCACCGCCCTTAAAGATGGTCCTTAAAAATTGGTCAGAGGAGCCAGGCGGTGGAGGTGCACGCCTTTAATCCTAGCACTCTGGAGGCAGAGGCAGGCGGATCTGGTGATTTAGAGGGCATCTGGTCTACAAAGTTAGTCCCAGGAAGATATTGCTGGAACACCCCCAAAATATCCTATTTATCAGTTCCTCGGGTGAAAGAACAAAGAAACAAACAAAACCATTCTTTCAACTCAAAATATCATCTTGAACCTAATGAAACGAACACATAGGATTGAGAGATGTGGCTTTCAGCCCCTGACTACAATTCCAGAGTGGCAACTTGAAAGCACCAAGGGAGGGGCCCAGGTGCTGACAGAGAAAGAAAGGCTCCTGGGAAAACTGACTGGTTCCTAGAAGCTTGGAGCTACAACTTTCCTTCTAACGTTGTTCTTCACCCTTTACCAGAGAAAGTAACCTGAACACATATGACCTAGTGTGCTAATCGTAGGTCTGCTAAAGGGAGTCAGTGGCTCAGAAGGCATGAGAGTTCTGGTGTCTATTTGCTTTCCCAGGATTTGGTAGCGAGCAGCCTGGACTCTATCACCTGAACTGACATTCTGTCCCAACAAACCCCAGCCAGAACAGCAGATCAACTTTGGTGTTAATGGAGATTCCAGTGGCAGTGGGAGAGGGTGGAGACCAGACCTCCCAGAACAGGGTCTTAATATCCAACTCAGAGCTGACTGCATGACCATTTTCTGCTGTGTTACACAGTGCAAATGGCACCTCCTCGGGGGTCAATGAACAGCCTCTCTCCAGAGCTGGCTGCACACCTGCTGTTTGTCCTTATTCCTCTTGCTTGTGAGCAGTCATTAAGGGGTCATTGCAGTTTCCCACTGTCTACCTGTGCTTTAGATATGCATCTCCTGTGTCATCGTTAAGGGCATAGTTAATTCTTCACTGACAACTGGACTGGATTTGGAATTTCCTAAGACACAGACACACCTCCAGGCGTACTTGAGACAGTGTTTCCAGAGACATTTAACTGAGGAAGGAAGACCTGCCCTGCATGTGAGCCATGCCATTCCTCAGGCTAGGCTCCCAAACTGACTAAGAAAGATAAGGCAAGCTGGGGGCTGGCATTCATCTCTCTCTGTTTCCTGACTGTGTATGTCATAAGACCTGCCTGTGCTCCAGCCTCCATGTCTTCCCTGCCAAGATGGACTGAATGCTCAAACTTCCTTCTTTAGTTACTTACTATGATAGATTTGGCCACAGCAACAAGACAACTGATGACTGCACATACAGTCTATAGTAATGATGACTCTCGAATGGCATTTAAGGAAACGTAATTAGGGATGTGAACATGAAACTGAGTATTGCCAGACTGGGTAAGGGGTCAACATGCCTAGCTTCCTGCCCAATATCTGAGCTACATCTTTCCTCAGGAGACGTTACCTGACACATGTTTATGTCTTGTTAAGTCTCTTCCATTCATTGATCTCTTCCTGTCTTTTGAAGCATATACCTTTGGCTTCATTTCTAGGTAGTCACCCTGCTTCGACTTGCCATCTCTGGAAAATTCTTAGTTCCCCACTTCCAGTGGCATTGTGACAAGTCCTATTTCTTTCTTCCCACTCTCCCCTATTTATAGGTTTCCCATTTTTGGCAGGTTTGCAAGTGAACACTCAAAAATTTCAAAGAGAAATATCACACTCAGGAAACTCATGTGGGCATTTTCTTGAGTCATCGCCACAGAGAACAAGAGGTCTGGCTATTGCTGATGACCAGGGATTTTCCAATTTTATAAGAATTGTATACCTACCCTGAAGACTGAGTGTATAGTCTGACCTCAACATCAGACTTGAGGAAAACAGGCAAAGTGGGGTCATGAGGAGGAGGTAGGCTCACCCTCAGCCCCCAGGTCTACAAAGGCTTGGGAAGCTCATGAGGGTGCATCTGACCTATATTTTAAAAGCTTTTCTTTGATCCTACCAGGTCTTCCCCCATTCCAGCACTGAGAAATGAACTCAAGGCTCTCATGAATTTGTGTGCCCTATTGCTAAATGTATCTATATCCTCAGTCTTATCTTTACTTTTTAAAGAAGGACTTTAGTTTTAGGTAGGTGTGTGTGTGTGTGTGTGTGTGTGTGTGTGTGTGTGTGTGTGTGTACAGGTACCCACTGAGGCTAGGGGAAGGCTAAAAGGTGGCTAGAGGGTGGCTAGAGGAAGGTTAGAGGGAGGCTAAAGGCATACGATCCCCTTGGAGCTGGAGTTACAGGCAGTTGTGAGCTGTCTGAAAAGGGCACTGGAAACTGAACCCAGGTCCTCTGGAAGAGAAGGGTGCTTTTTAACTATTGATCCATCTCTTCAACTCCTCCAAACACCCTTTACTTTTTATTTTGAGACAAAGTTTCACTAAGTTCCCAAGGCTGACCTTGAACTCACTATGAAGCACCATGTAGCACCATCAGGTCTTGAATTTGTGATCTTCCTGTCCTAGCCTCCCAAATAGCTGGGGTTACAGGTTCTCCTCATTAGACTTGGCTTGACCCTGTATGTTTTTCCAGTAACTCCTGCTCCTGTATTTCTCTCTGCCCTCCTTTACTCACAGGACAACTGCTCAAATACATGTCTAGACTATAGTTGCCACGCTGAGCTATTTCTGCAAGCTCCCTGAAGAATTGTGTGCATAGATAAATTTAAAAGAGTCCCGATTCAGAGCTTCTTATTCTGTGTGTGGCTATTGGAAAAACTGACAGGGTGGAGCTGGGTGTGTGGTGGTACACACCTGCCTTCCCTATACATGGAGGATGAGGCAGGAAAATGAGGAGTTCCAGACCAGCTTGAGTTACATAGTGAATCTGAGGTCAGCCTGAACTGCAGAGAAAGACCTTGTCTCAAAAAAAAAGTTTAGAAAACACGAAGTGATTTTCAAGAGAACAAGCAGTGACCATGCACTTCTACTTTCCAGATGTCCAGCTTCCCTGCTCATGCCTTGGGCTGATACCCAAGGATGAATTGAGGTCACATTTCAGGTAAACGCCCCTAGAGGATGGTATCGGTACTGACAGCCCTTAATTCTGCCTCTCCTAGTTGTTCAGGTTGGAAGTTATTAATCAGTTTGGGGAACAAAAGACAAAAAACAAAGAGTTTGGTGGCAAATGTTGAAATGCTTTGATTTGGGTCAGAGACAGTAGTATCCTATTAAAATTAAATTTTTGTTTTGTCTTGAAGGACTACCAAGTTATTGTATTTTCAGATTAAAAAAAACACAAACAAATAGGAATTTTGATTTATATTTTTCAGAGTCAGTGTGGTGTAGTACATGAAATAACTGAAATACAGATTGCTAGTGTATTTCAAAAAATCAAATTATATTAGGAACATTTTATTCCAGCAAAGTTAATGTTTTTCCTATATGACCTTGCTAAAGTAATATTTTCAATCTTGTGTTAGTTAATATCGATTGTCAACTTGACAGGATCTAGAATCAACTAGGAAACAAAGCATGTGATGGAGAGTCTAGATTAGGTTAACTTAGGTGGTGGCACCATCCCACAGGCTGGAGTTCTCGACTGAATAGAAAGAAGAAAGATCTGGGCACCAGTGTTCCATCTCCCCTGCTTCCTGATTGGGTGCAGAGTGACCAGCTGCCTTGTGTTCCTGTTGCCATGCCTACTATACCTTGATGTCCTACTATACCTTGGAACATAAACTCTCCCTCACTTAGGCTGCTTTTATCAGGTATTTTGTTACAACAATGGAACAAGCTAACAATTTTTTTTGTTTGTTTTTTGTTTTTCAAGACATGGTTTCCCTGTGTAGCTTTGGAACCTGTCCTGGAACTAGCTTTTGTAGACCAGGCCCATCTAGAACTCATAGAGAGCTGCCTGCCTCTGCCTCCCAAGTGCTGGGTTAAAGGTGTGTTCCACTGCTTCCCAGATAACACACTTCTTTTAATAAGTGGCAAACCATTCACCATGTGGTGAAAGGCACATCCTTGACATAACTTCTTCCTTTCTCTACCCCACTGTCAATGAGTCTTATTAATTTTACTACCCAACAGGACCCAACTTCATGGTTCCTTGTATTTGCTGAATCTAAATCTCTGTATGCTGCTGAGGATCGAACCCAAGGCCTCATATTGTAGGAGGGAATCTGCACACAGACAATGTAAAGAGTTCAGCAAGTGACATTTCTGTCTGTCCTGCGCTAACTCTTCTGTATTAGCTTCTGGTGGCACTGCAGGAGGAAGCCAGGCTAGATGGCCTTAGGAGTACGTAGATCCATTTATACACAAAGTAAGAGGCCATAAGTAGGGCAAAGTGCAAGAGACACAATGAGAGAAGCTCCAGCACATGAACCTCAGAGCCATGGCTGATCACCTGACCAGGGGGCCAGACTAAACTTGGGAATGATTGACAGCCTTTGTTCCCTCTCCCTACAAAGTGGCTGGCTGGAGGTGAGACGGAAGGCAGTTTTTAAGGTGTTGGTGCACTGCCTTCTCAGATCTTTAGCCCTCTAAAATACAACTTAAAGATTCAATTCCTATCTCTGCCCATTGGTGTTTGTGGTGATAGGCACAGTGAACTTAAGTGTTCTGGTTACACTCATTGACTCAGCAGTAACTCCATTTTCCTAACAGCACTCCTTAGCTTCTGTCTCTGCCCTGGGTGCTAGAAGCCCCCTTGGGCCCTGCCTGTGGGCTTTCCCTGAAATACACCTTCAGCACTGGGGTACTCAGACCTCTGGTTCACATGT